CTGCGCAGGGGGGCTGCAGGGATTCTCAGAGGCCCTCAGGTTTGAGTCATCTCCCCTCTCTAGTCTAATCGCAATCACACCCACCCTGTACCTAGTTCTAGTCCCGTTTCTTCACTAGCCAGGCCTCCCAACACTCTATTATTAATAGTTAACATTTATGGAAAGTTTACAGTATGCCAGAAACTCCACAGTACTCCTATACCCCCCACAAAAATCTTAACACTTTATAGGTGAGAAAACTGAGGTACAGGCAGTATAAGCAGATTTCCCTGGTCAACCTGTTGGTACCTGACACCCAGGATTCAAACACAACCACGTCTAAACCCCAGAGCACAAGCTCTTAGGATTTCGGTGAATTTTGAGAAACTATAAGCTCCAATGGCCTCTGTTGACTGTTGCACTCACCTGGCAGTTATGTTTCAATCCTTGTATTGCTGGGCATCCTTTTATTTCCATCACCATGATTTAGAATCTTTAGGCTCTCCCATCTGATTTTGGAGGGCATTTAAAGAGTGGAAATATTGACGGGAAAGTAAGTAGGACATGGCAAAGCAAAAAGACAGATGACGAACTCGAAGAAGAGTGGAATATATGACAAGGATTTCATGTTCTTACTACATAAAACCCTTTTACACATCCATAAGGAAGAAGGCAACCAGCCGATTAGTTAAATACTTTTTTTAAAGGGTAGCATAAGAGTAATTCATAGAAAGTGTTACTTCACTGGTAATCAAATGAATGAAAATCAAAATGATTCTTTATTTTCTTTATACTGTCCTATATTAGTTACATATTTATTTTATAAGGAATGTGTGTTAGTTTTATCATTTTTAAAAGAGAGGTTTCTATCTTGGGACAATAGAAAGAGTGTACATCCCACATTTTGTCAGGCAATATCAGAATCTGAAACTTGCTGGAGTTGGTTGGTGGCTAAAAGCCACATTTCTAAGGAACCATTTATTGTTCACTCAACTTTTTTATAGACTCGATTATCTGACACTGTGTTTCTGGTGTAAATTAATCATGTCTGGACCCTGTCATCAGGACCTGGCAAGTCTTGCCTCCCTTCCTCCCCTTTGGTCCCAAACATACAGTAGGGCCTACAAACCAGACCCTGGCTTCCCTGAAGTATTACCTTTCCCACCCACAACCCAGCCCAGCAGGGCTCCCCTTTGACCACAGATGCCCCAGCCTCTAAGATGACCTGATACCTCATACAGCCCATGTTCCCGGCAGAAATCTCATCCGTTACCTCAGACCCTAGCCCACCCCCTCCTTGACCCTGTTCCTGGCTTCTCAACTTCCAGCTGTGAATTTCCTCTCCTCATATGGGAGTCCTAATAATAAACAATACTATTACTTATTAAGTACTTACTTCCTGCTATGAATTGATATAAATTTTCTATTCTAATCCTCCTAACAAAAGTTTTAAATATAATCACTATTTTACAGATGAAAAAAACAAAGGTCATTAGGAAAAGCGGCCAGGGTTCCAAGGCCCATCTGGTTGACTTTGTTTCAACCTGGGGATCCCAGCCCTCCACTTTTCTTTCATCAAGTGGAACCCCAGACTTTGTTCTCCACTGGGGGCTGGATTGCACCACTACCTCAGGGAGGGAGGTGAGGTGAGCTGCTCTCTCCTGATAGTGCCCAAGCAAGCCCTTGAAACAGTTCCCCCGTGTCTTTATCCGCACAGATACTTGTATGACAGGGGCTGCTTATCAGTCTCTTCCTGAATCTTTACTCCCAATATCTACAGCCCCATGAAGAGGCCAGTCTTACCTGTCTCTGCATCAGATTTGTTTCAAGTTTGGGTCAGAAGATACTTTGTGTTTCTCTTCATTGAAGACTTGGTCCTACCAGGGTGTATTTGTATTTTAAAAGAAAAATGTATCTATCCAAGTAGATCTCTAATTCAAGTAAATGCTTTAAAAGGAAGAAGTTCAGAACAACTCTTGTGGTGGCAGCAGTTAATTCGTGTTTTACAAAAAAGACAGTTGAGTCTCAGAAAATCTCTTTGTTAAAAGTAAAACACAAAATGTGAAAATGAAACTCTACCTTGCAATGGTTGACTCCCAACTTGCCATCTTTCTGCCCCAATGCAGTGCCCATCTTTGTCAGCCACTGAGTTGCACTAATGCTCCCCTTCCCCAGGTCCCCATGCTTGTAGGAGAGCCACCTCCTCAGACTGTCCTGGAGATGGGGCTGGGACAGGGTTCCCTCCCCTCCCCCAATGCTTTACTACCACCATCCAGGCTTTAGCGCCCTGATCTGCTGGAGTAAAAACATTAAAAGAACCATTCTCTCAATTGTAGCATTTTACATGTCATTGTAATTTTATGAGGCAAAATTCTCAGTTTTAATTACCAGTCTCTTCCAATTTTCCACCAAGGACAGGGAGCTTGGAAGCTCCCAATATACTTCCAAGTTCCATAAAGTTTTCATTTACACATTCATTAAATGCCGTACGAATAAACAATGCTCGGTCCTCGTGAGAAAAAGAAGAGCCGTAAGACTAGAAGTTCAATTTTAGGAAATTTGGTTCAAATTCACTGGACTTTCCTTGACTTCCAACTTGACTATCTTTCTAACCCAGAGTTTAAAGTGAGCCTGCATGCTTGTGACCCATAGACAGTCAATTATTTATAAAAACAAACCATGCTACATTGATGAGCTGGCCTCCCTTGATGCTGCAGCCTTCATGTGCCCATCAGCTTTGCTTTCTTACCACAGTAGCCCTTGCAACAGCTTGCATTGCCCAAGGGCATAGAGCCAAGTCACTTGCTGCTACCTTTTGTTCAATGACACCATACAACAGAGCATTATTTCAATTCCATAGTCCAGACCTTCTGCTCCAGGGCTCCTCTGCTGTCAACAGGCACCACACTTAGCTTCTGTGGGGGGTGGCACGGACTTGTGCTCACTCATCACTTCAGCAGCTAAGATCTAGCTTCCTTAGGGACAGGTAGTGGGGCCAGGTGTGTAGCCCCCCAATGCACCTCATTCATCTTTGCATCCTAGCACCTAGCATAGTCTCTGGCACATGGTAGGAGCTCAGCAAATATTTGTTGAATCGAGAACCAGAATACCCAAGCTACTTGCCTAAGATAGTTTAGCAAAAAACTAGACAAGAAACCTGACTCCCTAAGTCTTCTATCAGTGCTAATGCAACTCTGCTCCCCTAGGTTTACATGCACCTCCTGCAAGAAAGAAAATTAAGATGAATAAGAGCAAGGGAAGCAGGAGAGGATGTAGAAGAGAAAGCACAATAAACAAACTTTGGGGATGAGTTTATAGATAGCATTAGCAGTGAGATCAAGGCTGACATTTTCCTGGATCTGGGGAAATGTAAGACAGTTAAACCGTATTTATGGGTAAATGGTGCTGTTGGCCTAAGTTTTCATACCTGGAGCAGGCCTGGAAAAACACTTGACTCCAGGCATAGTCAAAGTAGCTCAGAATACATACTTATAAAATATAAATGTATCCATTTACCACTTATCCCACTGCCAATTATCAAGTTTTTTAAAAAGTCTTGTTTAAAAAATAAATATGTTCTTTCCTTACCCATCCCACCGAGTGAAATGTCTCCTAAGAATTTGTTTTTGTTGCTATGATTTTAAACATCTCAAGTGAATCAAACATATTAGATATTAATTTGTTATTTTGATTTAATTAGTCTGGATCAAGTAATATTCAGGACCTGGAAATTCCAGTAAGAAATTTCTTTTCCGAATGTGACTTAGATGTGTATTTTTTTCACAAGGTATGGATAGAGAAAGAGTAGGAGAAAAAAAAGTATCCTTAAGAGGAAATTTCTTTGCAGTAGCTGTACTATTGACCCAAGCCAAAGACCTAAAGCAGAGAAATGGAGTGGTTTGAAAGTGATGACAGTGCAAAATTTAGGCACGCTGCCACAGAGCCCGACAAAATGGTTTTGGAAATGATCTTTAATTCTTTTACTTAGGAGGAAAAAAAAATTATACAGAAAGATGTAAAGAGGTATTTCCTGTAATCCTATCATTTGAAAATACAGTCAACATTTTAGTATGTAGTTATTCAACTTCAGCAAAATAGGTGCATTCCTTAGAAATCTCAAATCATCAAATAATGCAGCGAACAGGCAACACGGAGCAAAGCCACCAAGGGGTGGCTGCGGGGTAGGAGCAGGGGAGAGATTTTTCACTGTGTAAGTGCTGTGCTGTACCGTTTAGGTTTTGTCCTTGATGACTGTATCACCTATCAAAACTAGATCACATCTAAATTTAAAATTCAGATTAAAAAAATATTTTGGTAGGAAAAGAGAAGTTTTAGACTTATAGCAGAGCAGGGGTTTTTTTCCATAGAAATTTCAATAATACATGTGTTTTCATAACATAACACTAAATGCATTTGGTTATTGCTAGCTTAAAAAAATGGTGACTCCAAAACAAAAACTAATACAAACGCTTCCTTTCTTTCCCTTTACCACCCCTCCTCTCCCCTTCCCCTCCAGCCTCTCCGGTTCCAGTACCCTCTGATGCCCTATCACTTTTGCTATGCGGTTTAGTTTGCAGTATCGTCCATACAGCCAGGGTAGCAGCAACCTTTTCTCTGTTCTGATGATGCTAATTCTCAGTCAATTCTAGTTATTACTAAGAATGGTTCACATAATTATGTTTCAAAATTAGCTGACTGTGCTATATCCAATTCTTGTAATGGACCTTTTAACTGTAGGAGAAAAAAATTTCCAAATTATTTTTAAACATTTTTTTCCAGGTATGTGTACACATATTTTACGTAGAAATTATCTTTTGTTTGGTTTTTACAAAAAAAAAAGGGAGGGGGGAAGCATAATAAAAATACTACTGCAGACATTTTTTAACCAAAACAAAACATTCTGAAACTCTTTCATGATAATAACATAGGTTAACATTATTATTTTAATTCACCACATTCCACTTCATCTACCTACAGTAAAAGTTTAATTAATCCCCTATGCATGAGTATTTATTTTCTTAAAAAAAAATGAGCTCTTTTAGAATTTGCTTGTCTTCATTAAGCAGGGCCATGCTATTTTTTTCATTATCTTTACAATGTTAGTATATGAGCTATTAAAATGAGTATGAGTCCATTCACTTAATGTCAGACACTAAGGCCAATGAAAGCTGAGATTCCTATAGGCCAGGGCAACAGAGGAAGACATTGCCTTTGCTGAAGCTGTAACAAACCCAGGAGGAACTGAGGTCTACCCAAGTCTTCAGGTCCACCCATGGAAGGCAGGAGTTGTGTATGACTCACCATTCTCCAATCTGTTATAAATCAAATCATATCCTTATCTGGGGATTCAACTCCACTCCATTAAATTTTACATAATAAAGTGCAAGGTATTGTGCTAAGGAAGGATGCAAACTAAACTGGGTCACTCTAATTATCCATGACACAATCTAGCAATGAAATATACATACATACGACATACTTAAATATGATACCAGAAGACTTGTAAGACAAAATAAAAGTTTTATATGAAACTCAGAAGAGGGACAGACTAAATTAGGCTGGGGAAGGCAGCATTAGGTGCTACTGGAAGAGTAGGTGGGGTTGCACCCAAGAGAAGAGAGATGAAAGGCCCTAAGGAGTTAGGAGTCTGAGCTGTTGACACAGCCTGACTCCAGATGCTCAGAGTTGTAAAGCCTTTCTCCTGTTCTCGCTCTCTGGGCAGCTCTCTCTTGCCAAGGCTGCTGTGTTTCTGGACACAACCAGAGGATCTTCAGACTTCACAAACCTGTTGTGCAGAGCCTGGCATTTCAATAAGAAACAAAATGCTGAGTAACAACATGAAGTCAATCTGTTGCTTGCCAAGAGTTGGGAGTCTTGGGTGATTTCCCAGTCTTAAAGAGACAGAAAGACCTTACAGCCAGCCTCCTGGGGAAAAACCAGGATGGATATACCACTTTAGAAAATGCTATGCTCTAATCCAGTTTGGGTAGGGGCACCACCTATAATTCGTATTGGTCACTCCCAAAGCAGATGGACTAACTGTAGCTCTCAATTATTTTGCCTCCTTTCTATGACTAACATAACACTAATGGCTTACTTTTGTGAAGTATCTTTCATGCACTGTAGAACTGAAATAATTTCAGTAGCCTGAGATTATTTTCAGGTAGTCCTGGGTCAAAAAGTTAAAGCTGAAGAGAGTTAAACAGGAAATGACTCTGCTACAAAGAATTCAGAAGGTAAGTGAATAAACAATTCAGGCACAAATGCTGAGTTCCAGGTGTCCCAGAAACAATAAGGCCCATTGCCAGCTCAGATGGGTGAAATTCCACTCTGATGGTCTATAGCTTTCCAAGATCACTCCTGGATCAGTCACACCAGTGTCACAAGCTTTCTGCCTGCTCAGCTCTTATTCAACATCCTGAGGCGTTTTGCCCAATCACTCCTGTGTGACCACTTGTTCTAGGAACAAGGTACCAAATGTTTGGGAGACTTCATAGAGCCTATAACCGAAATGAACAGAGGAATCAGCAGCCAGGCAGAACAAGGGAGCAAGGAAGACTGAGTCTGACTCAGGAATTTTTTATTTTAATCTTCACTTAAGATTTTCAATCAAAATTTTAAAATCTGATCTTAATATCTGCTCCCAAAGGAAAATTTGGAAAAACAGAAATCTATAACATAGTGAAAAACACAACTCCACCACTATTAGATATTACTTATTTTCATTCTGTGTTCTCTGCCCACAAATGTATAAAACTGGGATCATTTTGTTTATACATGGTTATATGTTAATTTTTATCTAACATCATACTATAGTCATTTCCTATGTTATTAAACATTGTTGCAAATTTTGCATTTAATGGCTGTATAATATTTCATACTACAGGTATATGACTATTTAAACATTCCCCTTCTTGGGCCACTCAGATTGTTTCCAGTTTTGTTTTGTTTGTTTTTGTTTTCATAAGTAACATTGTGATGAATATGTGTACACATAAATATTTTACTACAATTTAATTTATTTCCTTAGGATCCATGTCAGGAAGTAGAATTATTGAGTCAAAGAGTACTCTGTAGTTTTTTTCTTTTAATTAATAAACAGAGAAACCATGCTGTCTGAGCAATATATTACGAAGTGTGAACATCCAAAAGTCTCTTTGAATCACTCTGCAGGTCAGTCAGGAAGTCCACACCCTTGATCAGCAGTCTCGTTTTGTGCATTTCACCTGGAGTCCCAGGAGCTACCTCATGCCCTACTCCAGACCCCACTCTAAGACAGTACTCTGCCTTAACTGATCGTCTTTGTCACTTGTTGGAGTTTAAAACTGTTGAACCCAATGGTTCCCTCTTCTTTTTCCCAGGTACCCTACATCCAAATAATTTGAAGGAGAGGGTTCTCTGAGCCATGAGACTGATTCTCTATTTATCTGTCTTATCCACTTGCCTGCCTCTGCACACACATTTATCTGTCTTCTCTTCTTTAGATAGTGTGTATGGGCTGTCAGCACCCAAATTTATGTCTTCAGCCCAGATTTCTCCCCTATATTCTGACTTGAAATCAATTACCTAAATGATATTTCTATTTGGATGTCTAATAATATTTCAAACTTTGTCTAATACCAAACTGCTGATCTTTCCCAAACCTGTCCTTCCTATAGCCTTCTGTACATACGTTAATGGCAACACCATCTTTTACTTTCTCATGCCAAAAACTCGCAGGTGTTTTTGACTCCTCTCCGTCTCTCACACCCCACCTCCGATCCATCAGCAAATGTATGCATCATTTCTCACTAGACTATTGCAACAATCTCTTTACTGGCCTCACAGTTTTTCAGCCTGTTTCTCAAGACAATAGTCAGAATGGTCCTATTAAGATATATCAGATCATGTGACCTCTCTATTCAAAAACTTACCAAATGCATCCATTTCACCTAGAGTAAGAAAGAAATTTCTTATAATGGCCATACACATCTGCCCCTCCCTGCCTTCTTACCTACCTCCCTTTATGTCCTACCATTCTCCCTTTATTGTCTCTTCCGTCGCCACAGTGGCCTTCTTGCTATTCTGGGAGCATGCCAGGCATTTTCCTTCCTCCGAGTCTAGTACTTCCCATGCCCTCTGCACTCCCCCAGATTTCTGCATGGCTCGCCCCTTACCTCCTTTAGAACTTTACCAGTTCATCTTCTTATGTGACCTTTCCTGATGATGGTATTTCAATTGCAAATTCCTACCCCAACATTCTGTATCTCCTTTTCTACCTTATTTTTCTCCATCATGCTTGTCATTCACCAATAGGCCATATTTACTTGGTTTATGATCTGCCTCCCCCCATAACAGAGAGGAATTCTGCCTATTCTGTTCTGCACCATGTTCTTATCACCTCAGTGAATGCCCGGCATGTGGTTGGTGCTTCAAAAATACTTGCTGAATAAAGAAAAAGCGGACTATGAAAAGGCATAGGTAAGAACCTGCGTGTCAGGATCACGAGAAGGTAGGGGGCATCAAAATATCTCCGCTAACATTCTGATTCCTGTTACAGAACCTGAACCAAAAGTACACAAAAGAACTGGAATTACTGCAGGTTAAGTGGACCAAGCCAGGTGTCTTCTAGATACTCTTAGGTTTTTGTAAATTTTACATATTATGGGAATTTTTAAACTTCTGTGCACTAAAGCAAACCAGAAGATTTTGATAAAGACTATATTGGATTTCCCAGCATTTCTACTTGGTCACATAACATGGCAAAGGTTTCTGAAGGTGGAGCCAATAATAAAGGTAGAAGAAATGAAAATAACATGAAATTGAGTGCTAGGCTCTTTACAATATCTCATTTAAGCCTTCAAAAACTCTGAATGTCAAAGAGTATTATTTCCAATTTTGAATATATTAAAATTGAGGTTCTGTCAGAAAAATTTCTTCAGAGTCACACAGGTAGTAAGACACAGGCTTAGAATTTTTTTCATTAGCTCCCTGACTAATAATATATAATCTATAGCTAATATCTCAACGAATCAGATGACTTAGGAGAAATCATTTAATATTTGTATCTCAGGTCTCCATGAAACAATATACATTCACTTTAGACACTTCCCTTAGCGGGAATCAGGATGATGATTTCAGGCCTTTCTGGCTCTTGTTCATTTTTCAGCTCTTTCAGAAGAAAGAAAATGTTCTAAATGTTCGGGTCCACTGCAGCTCTTGTGTTTCCTAGTTCAAGTCATAAACCCTCAAGCAAAACCACAACCACCATCACAGCACAAAGTGTCCTGGTGCTTTTTGAAATTGGTGAAAACATGAATTTTCCCAAGTGAATCAAACACTCTAGCTGTGTGAGAGTGTAGGCAAAGCTAAAAATGGAACTTCTTGCTGGCTGTCCAAGTGAAGGACTTTGTTTCAGGGAATCGCATGTTGCCAACACAGGCACTTGTCAAGCACAATAGCTGTTGGCACAGCATTACTATGTGAAGCTGGGGTGAGCTGCCAGGGAAAGCCCACGCTTCTGTGGTGCGTGCAATGCTGTGCTGGGCCAGCAGCTGCAGTTCACCACTGATGACCATTTGAACATTGCCTTTCACTAACGGTGCACCCAAATGGACTGCTCAGCAAAGGGGAGAATGCATTTACAGGGAGAGGCAATGTAGTATAATGGGAAAAAATTAGAATGGGGCAAGGAAACCCTAATTTTAACTCCACTGTTGTGACATGAATGCCTCTTTTAACTTCCCTGGGTCTCATTTTCTGTATTCACTCACTTGCTTAGTTGCCCATCCAGGCTTCCAAGAAGAATTTATCAAATGCCAACTTGCTTTCAAGGTATTGGGTCAGATAATGTGAGCATGTCACGCTTCTACTTTAAGTGCATTAGGAATATACTAGTCTCATCTACCTCAAAGTGATGTTCTAAAGAGGAAAACTCAGTTACTACATAGGTAAAAATGGAAATAGTTGTGTTTGTCTTGCTTACTTCATGAATCTATTATGAGAATTGTATGAGTTAATTATGTGGTATACTTTATGACTTTAAAGCATTATAGAAATATGTAGGCAAATAGATCTTATGACTAAGATAAAACTTGTACCATTGCTGGATATTAGTGAACAAGACTAATGAGATATAGTGCCATCTTTCTTTTCCTCATTTCTTGCAAAGGTAAGGCCTCCAAAACTAAAAATAGAAGTTAGTTTAAATAATTATCCTTATAGGTTTTCTAAGAAAACACTCAAATAGCAGCCAAACCTATGGTTCAAACTATATACTCTTGTACTGGCTATCAATAGTTTTAGGTGTTCAAGCTCTAAAATTCATTGTGAGGAGTGGGGACTTTTTATTGCTAGTATGTCAGGATTAGATTTTGCTGCACTTTGAAAAAAAGAAAAAAAAAGCACTACCAGTGCCTAAAGAAGCCAGCATTTGGAGGGACATTTTTCTCAGATAAAAGAAGTCTGGAGGGAGATAATCTAGCTCTGGCCATTGCAGGATGTCATATCTTCTTTTCTCCATTATCCTAATGTGTGGATTTTATTTAATTAACCCATCCCAGGGCTATTAAAGCTCCAGTTATCATATCTGCATCACAGGCAAAATGAAGATGGAAAAGCAGAAAGGATCCCTCCTAGCTGAGTGGAATCCCTTTAAGCAGCTTTTCTGGACTTTCCAGCCTGGAATCATGCTTTCATATCTTTGATAGAAAATAGTCACACGGCCACATTTAGCCATAAGGGAGGTTGGAAAATGTAATTTCCCACAGAGACTCTGTGCCTATTAAAAATTAGGCTTATAGTAAAGAGAAAGGGGAAATTGGATGTGAAAGTTGGCAACTAGCAGTTCCTCCCCTGAAAAAAAATTTTTTTAAGGTATGTCAATGAATAGAATATCTTCAGTTTAAGTTTTTCTTCATAAATGCTTCATGTTATTTTGGTTTTAATAATATTACCATTTTTGTAACAGTACACAGTGTATCTGATTCAGTACAGGGTTATATGCTTGTTTTTTAAAATAACTCAAGTATTTTATTTCATTTTATTCTGGAAAAAGCAACATCATTTTCAGGTGTTTCATCACATGATTATATTGAGCCCCATTAATCCAAATCAAAGAAAATCTTAGGGATCTAGAATAGAAACACATCCTATATGGAACTAAGCTGCCATCTCCCATCCCTCCAACACCTTTAGCTCAGAAGCATTTACTAAAAAGCAATTTGACCTGAATATCAGCAAAACACAAGGCATCCCTGAATTTTTTTCAACACAGAAGAATATCCCTCCATGGTGGCCACTGAATGTGCATCTTTCTACATCTTTCCTCAAATTCCTAGCAAAATGACTGTGCTCTGAGTGCAATCCTTTTGGTGTTTTGTGTTGACATTTTCCATATGTGTACTTGTTGGCCTTTCTGTTCATTTAGAATGTACTGTCTTAAGATCTGAAGTAACTCTGGGCAGCAGTGTCTAAGGTGTTCATCTCCTAATCCAAGGAGCGGCAGACCAGCTGGGTTGCGAAGGAGCAGTAGAGTGTCCAAGACTGTCCTGACTGTTTGGGATGTGTCCCCTCCACATTGCAGTGCTGGGATGGCAGCCAGGTAAGGAGCATGAGCTCTGGATTCTGAAGGAGAGCTTTTCTTTCTTTAAAAGCAACTATCACAATGTGACATAAGCTTAAATTCAGCCCAATTTGTATAATTCCGGGAGGAAATAAAGTTTAGAGAAATTTGAAAAATCTAGAATATTATGTGACCTTGGACCAATCACTTAACCACACACAACCATTTTTTTGTTATATGAATAACAATAATAGTTATGGGTTAAATGACATTAACAGTTGCACTAGATTATTAATACAGTAATTCCCCCAAAGTATTGTGATACTATCAATGATTACTGGTCATTCCCAGTGTGGTCAAAGAATTTTTGTCATTGACTTACTAAGATAGTTTTAGTAGACTTTTAATTGGGGGTCAGTAAGTTACTCACTCCAAAGAGGGAACTGAACTCTATAATCTAAAATATCCTGACTTTAGCATTCTATCATTCTAGACCTTATTATTGTTAGATATCTTTTTTCTTCCTTGGGTTGCTCCTTAATTCTGGGCATTTTATTGCCCATTTTCTCTTCTTCTAAAGGCTAGCAAAGGAAAATAACAGGGATTCTGCTAAATAAAGAAAATATAAATGGAAATAAGTCAGAGGTAGCTTGTCATGTTCAGTACATATATGTTCAGTAGAATATCATGTGTTGATCAAACAGTTCTATAACATGGGAGGCAAGGTGGAAAGGTGGCTAGAACAAAGGCCCTGGAGTCAAGAATGGGAAATTCATGTCTTGAGGCTATTCTGTATTTGCACTTGACCCTTAAGAAATCAAACAACCTCAGAGACTTCATCTAGAAACTGAGGGTGGTAATAGTGCATACTTTCTAAGATCTGTGAGAATTAAATTATATTACCCATATTATGGCTATTACTACTAACTGACGCTATTATGAGATATCTCTATATCTCAACAACAAAAGAATTCCCTGAATTTGAAGTTCCACTTATTTCAAGCAATAGTTGATCCTATCCAAATCTAGTACAATGAAACATATCTGGATGACTATAGTAGGACTAAGCCTGTTTCTAGGTCATTTCCACAGGAAAATTGAGACTTCATTATCTGTTTGTAAATGTGTTATTTAAACCATAGTTCATTCTGAAGCCCTCACTACTTTTATTTTGTCCCCTTCCGGCGTCTTTAACGGCTCTGTGGCTTTGAGGCTCTGCACTCTTCCCGGTTTGCATTTCAGTTTCGTCGGCACTCCTGTTTCCTGTTTGTCCCTGTCTAGGCTGCTCGCTTGGCATCTCTAACTCCTTCCCCTTCCTCTTCAGAGGACGTCAACATTTCCAGTAGGGATGGGCAGTGACAATGGCTTCTCTTGCTGCAGCTTTTCCTCTTCTTTCTTTTTCCTTTTTTAAACCTCCTTTGAACCTTTCTAAGCTTCCTGTAATGACTACGTCTTCGTTTCAGCTATTTCAGTATTTCTGTGGCTTTAGATTTTGATCTGGATTCACGTCTTCTAGACCAAACCATCTCAAACAAGTAGTTTGAGGTTTTTGCTGGAAGGTAATTTGAATTTGTATACATGGCCACCAACTCCCAATTTAGATGTCATGAGATTTCTGGAGTGGAGGAGAGGCCTGCCCAGATTACCTTCCTTATATTATTGCCCAGCTGTATTATTAGCAGGGATGGACTGTTTTGTTAATGATTCCACCTTGTTTGTTATAATTCTAAATAATTACTGCTGAATCAGGAGAACTGGAGAGTCTTTAATTTCAGGAGGGTTGAAGAAGAGTTAACTAAAATCAACTATAGATGTGGCTATTTTTACATCAATCTGAACGATCACATAGACATACACAAGTGCACACAGGTACATAAGAACACATGATTATTTATTCCTTCATAATGTTCTGGCATCTTTTCTGCAAGGAAGCTGCAAATGCAAACCTAATGTGAACAAAATTACTCAGGTTTTTTTTGTCACCATGGCAGGTGACAGATGACCTGTTCTGCTTCTTTTTCTTTTCTTCTTGATAACCAATGTTTAGGTGAAGAGTAAAAAATCCCAAAATGTTTCACAGGCTGCTTTCAAATTATTGGGCTCTGAGGTGCACATTCACTCATTCAAAAAATATCCACTGAGCACCAACTCTGCTCCATGTGCTCACAGTACAGCTATGTTCAAAGCAGACCAGATCCCTGCCATCTGGAACCTTGTATTCAGGTAGATTATCATTGTTCAGGATCAGACGTTTTGCTCATTTGACAAAAGCCCAACGTGGTTTAATTTCAAGAGCAGAATATTGAGGCAGGAGAAGAGATGGAGCTTATCATGTGCCCCATCATGTGGTTTCCTAACAGGCCAAATGAAATACAGGCTGGGGTGTTGCTCACTCTTCCTTCCTTTTTCAGTCACTCAGAACTCACAGCGACATTTCAGGAGCTAGATATTTCATTTCCTACCAACCAAAGACTTTTGCTGCATTTCATTTTACTCTTACCCAGTGAGAGGGCCATTCCCTTGCCTAACCCATTGTGCGATTATGTTTTTATAGGATACTTACAGATACACTTTCCAAGCCTTTTTAATATTATCTGGGTTGTGTGGAGTAAGGATATGGGACTGAGTGTGTTGGGCTCTTGTTTATCATAATTGTATTTCTAACGTCCACTATTTTCTAAGATATCTTACTGTTCTTGTTTTCCAGTATCACAAATTGGAAAATAAAGATTGTGGGAGTACAAAATGAATGCTTGCAATGTTTGTCATTTTTTAAAACTCTACTTCTGTGGCCCTTGACTCTTCTAAGATGACTTCACCTAAGAGCTAAGGCCAAGCCAGAACCCTTGATGTAAACAAGTGACAAGGGTCACGGTAGCTTATAATGAATGCAATCCGGGCAATCTGTGGATAAAAAGTAAAAGGCTAATTTTGAATACAAAGGAAATGAATAAAGCCTCTTGCCACTAAGAATCAAGAGGAGACTATCAGAAGGCAGAATCATTCTGTGCAGCTGGACCTATATCCTCCCCAGACTGGTAACAGCACCATATGGTTAGGAGGCCCAGCTCTTACCCAAGGGGCTGGTATTCAATTCTCCATTTGGGTAAGAGTTGGGAGGAGGTGGAGAACAGCAGTTAAGAGACTTCCTGGGTTCAAATCTTGCCTTTACCACTTATTTGCCATGTGCTTTCTTAATAACCTGAGCCCTGAATAAGAGTACTGCTTCATAGGGTCGTTTTGAGGCTTAAGTGAGATGATCCACATAAAGCCTGCTGCTTAGCTGGCACAGAGCAATAAATCTGAGATCTTGTGATGAGGATCATGGTAGTGATGACACAGGTGTCCAGGGAGACAGCAGGCTGGAAGTTCCTGGAAGGACGTGGTAGGTTACTGAAAGTCAGGAGTCAGACATCCAAGCCACAGCTGTGGAAGGTAGTTCAAGAACTGGCAGGGTAAGCTGGCAGGGTTATTAAGAAAGATATGGGGCAATGCCTGTTGAACCTAGAGGTGTAGAAGTGCCCTTTGTGTCCTGCGTAGTGAATACATCACCTGATCTGAGTCCAAAAACACAAGAGTCTGGACCTCAGCACAGAAGAGATTGGACCCAGCTAGTGTGGTTAAGGTCAAACAGGGCAAAGCTTTTTTGGTTTCTGTTATTTGTCAGGTTTGGAATATTCTTGAAAAGGTATTTTATGGTTTCACTCTTCTAATATTTGACTTCTGCATAATGGAAGGAAAAATAGGACTCGTTATTTTCTACAAAGGCATACACACAGTACACAAATAAGGAGACCCTCTGTGTAGGATGATAGGAATGCGAGATCTCATCTTACCAACTGTATAAAGGTAATAAATTCCCTTCTAAGCACATTACAGTTATATAAGTCATATCATATGTTGCTGGAAAATGAACCATCTATTTGAAACTCCCACGACATATAGTTTGTATAATTACCAAACTGGCCATTGAAAAATGTAAAGTTGCTAAGAATCAGGAAATAGTTGTTGAGTACCTATTATGGGCCAAGTTATTATTATAGAATGACAGAATCACGCCATTCTGTTGCTTTATGCATAGATTTGCATTTCCCAGTTAATATCTAACTTCTTTCTTCAGCCTCCATTAAAAGTAATATTCCAGAATCTCCTGCTGAGAATAGAGTACAATATATTCATAGATTCATAGCATTTTAGAGGTGGAAGAACTCTTAAAAAAGAATGAAAATCAGTGCCTTCGGCTTTCTTCAAAATGCTAGCTAATGTCCTATGGAACTTTTGAGATTTTTAAAATATTTTAAAAACATCTTATAAATGAAATTATTTAGTCAAATTCATCAGCTGGCTCACTGAATTCCCACCTATTATAAGAATTTATTCATCCTAGCAATGTGTATTTTAGGAAAGCGCAGAATAGAAATTCAGATAACATAAGTGGCTGATTCAAGGTGAATGGCATGAGCCATTCATTAGAGGGAGATGACAATCAGAAGGGCATCTGAAGAAATAAGGCCTAACATTTGACCTGGTTATTTCTGTTCCCAGCTGAAGAATATTTTCTGAATTCTTCCCAGTTCCTCTTGAGGCAGACAAATGTTGAAACAGAAACAAGTGGTGATACGCTTTTGTTCAGGATGGGCTCATGGGGAAAGTCCTATAATATTTTCAGCTGGTTGCTATGGAGGCAGCCAGCAGCAAGCTCAGCTGATTAACTTGGGCTGACATGGTTGTGGGATGGTACTATGATGGTAATTAATAGACAGCTGAGCACTGGAATTGTGCAGCAGAGGAAAAGTAAGGCAGAAGGACAATAGCAAAGTTTGTCAAATAAGAAATTGCAAAGTGCACACAAGAAAGGTATGGCTTTCAAACTTAACAAGGTGTTTACAAATACCCATGAACAAGATAAGCATGTGCACATTACTTTCCCATATGCCTACCATGAGTAGATATCCCAGGGAGAGCAATTTACCTGCACATTGTAGCCAGGGCACAAGCTGAAGCTGGCTAAACTATATGGGGATTTAACTAAGCTTTGAAATAACTTGGAAAAAACATGTTCCAGGCTCCTTGGATTTCTAGAGTTGTCAGGTCACCACTCTAGAAATTTGGAAAATGATCACAAGTCCAATTGGGAAGAGTTAAAGAACTATCTGGCTTCATTTTGTTTAAATGGGCAAAGAAATGTGACAGCCATCGGTCGCTATTCTCCTCTATGGCTCCGCAGACCTTTTTTCCCTGTTCAGAGCTTCCTGCTTAGTGTGTTTGCCTAAGCAGGGAGGAAAGCCATCATTCAAACTGTAACAACAGATTGCAAGCTAAGGCTTTTCTACACTTTGTTTAATTTTCCTGAAATGTCCATTTTTCCAGAAATGATTTATTGGTGACCTAGCATGCTTTTCTTCTTACTCAGCACTCCCTTGGGGTTGTAGTTAAAACACCAGTTAGCTATAATTCTCCTGGGTGGGGAGGTGGCGGGCGGTGGCAATGAAAACAAAGCCCAGATCTGAGCAACTGTGGGCTGTTGACTTTATGCTAGTCTTTCATAAAGGGAACCCTCAAAACACCATGGACATTCAGCAAACAGTGTGCATTTCATCTAAGCCTGGCGGGCTTTGTGCTCGCCTTTCTTTGGGCTTGAATGATCCTAACCAGCAGTGTCTTTGTGTCGTGATGCAGAAAGTTGGCCAGTACACATGAAGATAATGCTGAAATGTAACTTCTAAGTGGGGGAGGGAATCAGAAGTAAAACTCTGCACAATGCCTGGTAGTTCTTTCTCATGATGTTTATTGCAACAGAGGCCAATCATTGTGCATTGCCTCTGCAGCAGTGAATACAGCATATTAGTTTTGGGTAAAAACTGAGATTTCTTTTTGGTGATAAAGTATATGGAAAATAGAAGCTCTCTATGCTCGATTTCTTTGCTTTTACTTAAATTCTTCTGAAGGCATTTGTCTATGAGAAGGAAAATGACATAACAGGTTTGTAGCTAAAGATGAAACTTTTAATGATAAAAAAGATACAATATCAAATCCACTGGAACTCCTAGGAGAGGGTACCAAAGTTTTCAAAAGTTCGTGTATGCAGTGAACTGTGTTGATTGCCTACTCAGCAAAACTTGCCTTCTTCCTAAAATAACTCAATTCTGCTTTCCTCTCATGTAGCTATGTGCCAAAAGGAGGTTGATCCCAACTCCAGAGAGAAGTCTGATTGGTTTGGGTCATGCCATCACATCAATCAACTCTTCAGGAATGGTATGTGATTCAATTCTGGCCAATAAGATGTAAGCAGAAGTTCACTGAAGGATTCTGGAAAATTATCTCTTGCCGTTCAGAGAACCCTTGGAGTCCAATCCTTTCCTCCTTGGATGGGGAAGAAGGAAGCACATAGTCCCAGTTGCTCTTGTTGTCATTCTATATCCACAAGAGGAACAAAATTGAAGCCAAAGCTGTGGATGATCCTTGTGACATCACTGAGCCAGTAGATCAGTCAATACATTTCTTTGTTGTGTAAGACATTCAAGTCAAGCTATGTCACTGGCAGCTGGAAGCACCCTTTTAACACAGATTCTGCCTGCCAAAGCCTCCTCCTATACCTCCCTTAGTTTCTGCTCTCTCCTCTGTCCCTCTCTTCTCATGTCTGAACCCCAACCTTTGCTCCCACCCATGTTATTCCCCCCTGACAACCCCTGTCTTTCTTTCCCTGCCTCGTCTCTCTGTTCCTTTCCTTTTTTGCCCTTCGACCCACCAGTGGCACCCTTAGTACACCTTGATCTTGTTGGTCACAGCCAGGATGAATGAGCAGGACCCGCCACTAGGTGTACGTCTGGATCGGGTGGAATTTGGCTTCTCTGTCCTGCCCTTCTCTGGCCTTCCATGCCCCTCATCTCCCAGCAGTTCCCTCCCCTGTTCCATCGTGTATCACAAGGAGTCTGTGTGCTCTGAGACATCCACCCCAAAACTACATTTTCATTGAAGTATCTTTTGGAAATAATGCCTTAACCCTGTGGCTTTCAAATCTTTTTTTTAAAATTTTATCACAATTCACATTAAGTATCGACACTCAGTATACACAATATACACATAAAATAGTGAAACATACCTACTATATGTCATACATTCTGACATTTTCTCCTCTGTCCTATTTCCTTAAAAAAAAAATTGTCTCTACTCACCAAGCTGATTTCATGAACTGGGTTATGACCACCAGAACACTGCCTTAACCCCCAGCAGAAACTCTGATGGCAGTGCATCAGTCTTGCAAGGAAGTCTTTGAGGGTAGTTAAGGTCATACTTAAACTTGAATAAAATGGTGGGCAACATAAGCTAGAAGGCATTCTGGCTCTGTGAGTATATGTACTATTTTTCTTCTAAAAAGGCAAAGAGGTGAGATTTAGTGAGTGAATGTTGACAGTTGATGTGGTCCTAGTACTCTGGGGACATCTTTCTAAAGTGACAATGTATCTAACAAACACTGTTGTAGTTATTTCTGAAAGTGAGAGATGTTTCCTTCAAAGCTGTTGGTGGTCCAGACTCAGTTTATTAATTGCACTTTCATGTTTAACTTTTTAGGGCCTATTAAGTACATCTGCTTCATCATTCATCTGGCAGCCCTTTGCTACTCCTTTATGAGCTGGGAACTTCATAATGGGAGATGATCTGTTAGCACCATTTTTATACTATTGGATTGTGGCCAAAATGCATTGGCCTGCCTGTTGATAACTGCTCAGTATCAGCTGGAACCATTCTTACAGCCTCAATCATACAAAGGCCACATGTGTAGAGTCCATAGAATGCTTGAGGATTATATGATATGTAGGAAAGCCCTGTATAAGTACTGTGTAAATATAAAATAATGATTATGATAAATGTAAGAGACTCTCTTTGCCTTAGAAGTCACTCATGAATTTTAATATTTCCATTAATGTTCCTGAATCCCATGAATTTTTTCCACAACTCTAATTAGTAACACACATACACATTTTATTTTTAAGCCTATAATCAATACAATGCAGGCTGACTGTCCATAAGCTTTAAGCTCCCCCTTACTGGATATATTAGCAAATAGTTTTTCTTCTATATATAGCTGTGTTTATAATGTGATATATCCAGAATTGTTAAATGATGTAATGCAGCCTAAAGTAGTTAAGACAAGATTTTGGAGACAGTTTCCAAATGCAGTTTTACTAACTCTGTGAACATGGGTGAGTTACTTACCCTCCTAAGGTCTGATGTTCCTTATATGAAATAGAGATAATACAGTTCACTTCACAAGCATGTTATAGGATTGAGTTTAACTCTACTTATGACATTTATTTCATGATTCACTAGTGGATCATGACCACCAAAAACACAGCCCTAACCCATAGCATAAACTGTGATATTCAGAATCACGGGCTCATGACCAATTTGCAGTGTGAAGGTGTCTGTGCATATATGTGTGTGTGTGTGTGTGTGTGTGTGTGTGTGTATAAAGCTCTTAGCAAGTGATTCAAAGTTATTTAGCAAAAACTCAATAAATGGTAGCTATTTATAATTTAATAACCAGTGATAACCATGAAAAACAAGTTTCTTACAGCCCTTTCATTGTGAAAACTGCAGAAATCTAGGATACAATACTTCTTACTTTCTCTTTAGTGTTGGGGTTTTGGTCCACTGCTTCCAGAACCACCCATGTGTACACCTAGAGATGTATGTCATGGGCCTCTACGCTGAAATTGTAGACTAATACTGCAATATAAACTTTTAAATCTCTGAGGGGTGTGTGTGTGTGTGTGTGTGTGTATCAGGAGGGACAGGGTGCTGGTCTCTCTCTTGCTAAAGGAACTTCCTTAAAAATAAATATACTGAAAAGTAATGACAGGAAACTTCACAAAATCAAAAGGGGATGTCAGGAAGTACAGGATGTGAGGTTGTTTTCATTTCCGTTAGTGTTTTTCTTATTAATCATATATATATTTATAACTTTAAAAAGCAGAAATGAATTCACTGCTCCTTCTCCTTAAGACCCAGTTTTTAAAATAAAAAGGCTGTGATTAAAAAGGTGAATCAGCTTAATACTTTCTGTAGTAAAAACAGCATTTTAAGTCTCTGATCCTACATTATTGGACATCTGAATAGGACTTGTCACACTCATTCTTCTTCATTTATAAAGCTACTACTTTCTTGGGTACTTCATACCAACATGGAAGAGGTATAAAAGCAAAGTACCTTCAAGTAGAAACTGCTTAGCAAAGTTGTTTTTTTAAAATTCTTATCATTACTTTTTTCCCAGAAGACGGCTTCCAAACCCAGGGGCCTGGGAAGATCAACACATGCTCAAAACTGAATACCCAGTTCTTCCTTTTAGTAGCAAGGCTACCAGAATACAAGTGCTTTCACCGCATAAGCAGTCGTGTGCATGGTGAGCATTCGGTGTTTTTCCATATATTCAGGAAAGCGAGCATGTTGCCTGCAGAGTTTTCTCCATGAAATAGGGATCTGCATCCTGTGATAGCTATTGAGCAGCATGTTTCCGCTCAGATGTTGAAACACTATTTATCTACAAACAAATTTCAAGTTCCTATTTGGCTGAAAATCAAAATAAACAAAGAAACGGTTTTGCAGTGCTCTGCTTTGCCGTACAGATAGATCTGAAGGTTGTGAGTAGGCTTGTCTTTATTACTGTACTTATTAACACCTTGGGACTCAAAGAATAGTGCAGTCCATCTTTTAAACATTTATGATCTAAGTCAAATAGCTCAAAAGGTCGTATTTTAGCTCCATCCAGAGAGTTTAGATTTGAGAGGCAGGAAGTCACTTGATATTAAAAGCAGCCTCTCCTTTACTTCTTAAATAAAATTCCCTATGAAAGTATGTGGGGGACATATGTTGTTTTCATCTGCCCAGCATCCCTTGCTCTGGGAAAACACCACTTCGACGTGGTTTTAGAGAGGCTGCCCATCACTGTAGCCCACCCCCGCATAGGACACAGGCTTGGCCAATCCTCAAATTCTCTGCTCCTGAAATTAAGACACTTATGTTAAGCTAGATATACTTTCTTTCTCCTAGGAGGCCAGTCCAGGGCAGAGATCCCAGAACTGTCAGCTGCCATCTTCGCCCATGCACAGAGCAGGTGGAGGAGGCCCAGCTACAGAAGGAGAGCAAGATGGAGACAGAGGAGTGAGAGAGAAGGAAAAGGAGAGAACAGGAAGATCAAGGGAAGGGAAAGGGGAGAAAGAAAAGAAAGGGAAGAAAGAAAAGAAATTTAATTTAACCTCAGTAGAGATACAACTGAAGCCAGCTGATTCCTGAGCTAGTGTAAATGGGGGTCTGCAACTGAGAGAGTCCTACCTAATACAGAAGCTGTTCAGTCAGTCATTCATTTACCAAGTTATTGTTTATCTACTTTATGCAGGTCACTAAATGGATATGGGTGGGTGGGGGGACACATGGTCCTTGACCTTATAGAGCTTATGCCTGGTAGGGGAAATAAACATTATACACACACTCATATTCAATTTAAATATATACATTCAGCTTTTCATCTTATGGAGGAAAAGAATAGGGTACTGGGAAATACATGGGCGTAGAATAAGATAGAGAAGTCGTACAGTGTCATTAGAATAATACTTACAGAAAATGGCAGTGCAGGTGAGGCGGCATGGTGTAATCAGAGAAAACTTCAGTCATGGTCGGAAGTTCAGGAGCCTCATCCTAGCTCCATCCAAAACCTCGAGAACCTTCCTCATCAGCAGAGGTAATAACTGTCTTTATTTCTCAAGGGTTAAATGAAAATCAAATAATGTGGCTGATGCATATTTGAAAAGAAGAGTGTGGCATAAAATCCAGTGTGTGCATGATAGGAAGAATAGCAGAAGAGCCTGGTTCATGCACTGGGAAGCTGCCCCTTGTCCCATGATGGGAGAGGCAAAGGACATGCCAGAGCCGGAAAGCATGTGAAGGTTAATGCTGAGGGTCACTGAGAGGGATGTTTGCATATACAATGGGAACACAACACACATCTTTATTTCCTTATTCATTCTATCCTTTGGGTTGATGAGTACATTTTAGTTAGTGGCCAACATTCATTGTTCAGATATTTTGAGGAAACAGCTCTCAGTAATGTTTAACATAATAATGGCTTTTAAAAACCACTTAAGGCATTCCTACTTTTCATTTCCCACATGGCTTTAGTGCCCTCCTTACAAGACACTTTAGGTCATTTTTAAAAGAAATACAAAAAACAAAGTAGCAAAGAAAGAGACACTGCCCATTTCTCTAATTCTTGAGTTGGCTTTTAACAATCTAGTTATAAAAATAATATACTAGTATTGTCAAAAATTCAGCTAGTACAGTGTAATGTTCCTCTCCTACCCATCCCTACTCTCCTTGCCCAGAGGCAACTAATTTTAACAGTTTTCTCTGAATCCCTCTACAATTTTCTTTATCTGCATAGCCCAGCTGAGTCTTAAAGAGTAGCAGCAGTCCTTTGGCAGTCAACAATAAAAGGAAGCTTATCTCTACAAGTGAGAGAACAGCGTGAGTGGGCACTGGTGTGGGTATGATTGACTTAGGGGCCACATGCATATAGTCCTCTTCTAAAAAAAGGATAATTTGCCCTGCAATCACACTGGTATTCAGACAAAGTGTTCCATTGTATTCATAAGTGACTTTCTGAGCTCCCCCTCCAAGGGTCAAACTAGCATTCCAGGATTATGTCAGACCAGAAAAATGGGGTGGAGTTGTGAATTTGCTTTATTAGCTACTTATTTATTACTCTACGACATCGGCCCCTGCCCTGTGCTCTGGGCATCTCAGTGGTCCTGCCCCTGACAAAAGGCCCCCGTGCCTCCATCCACAGACCCCATGGGATCTGGGCTCTCTTCCTCTCACAGCCTCAGCCTGAGCCTCGGAAGGGCCCTGCCTTCATCTCTTGCCTGTCTGCAGAACCCACTATGCTTTACATTTTTGAAGAGAGATGTTAGTATGCAAGACTTTGTTTTTTAAAATACTTCAGTTCTCATTTTTTTTAATTTATACATTTTAATAAGAGAAAAATAAGTATTTTACAAGCAATGCTGAGAAGTCAATATTAGAAAATTAAACGTGTAGGTGGCCTGAGGCAACTGGGGCTCACTCTGTGATAGTGCCTCACGCTTCACGGCCTCACCAAGTTCTTCAGCAGCCAACCCTGAGCTCAGAACCTCCTCTTTTGAGGCTTCACCACGCTCCTGTAATGGAGTGCAGAGAGCATCAAGAGTCAGGAAAAAGAACTAATGACACTTAACCTGACTGCCTAGAGGGAGAGCCACCCAGTCTTTTCTTGTGTAAATTACCGGAGGCTTCTGAGAAATGCGCCTACCCTAAGTTAGATAACCAGAAGTGGGCAACAGCCTGGGAATGCCTGAGGATGTAACCCGTGATAAGTCACATAGACATGCTTGGGTAAGCAAGAGATAACAATTGAAGTGGGCAGGCAACTGGCGCGTTCCCTAAAAAGGTTACAATGTTTCCCATTGGTTACAATATAGAGTGTGTTTTAAACCTATTAGTTGTAGAACTGCGTGGGCTTTGGTGTAACGGCTGTGAAGATCCTATATAATCAGTACCCAAAGTTGCTTCGGGGTCGGCAGCTCGGACTCGGCCTGTGTGCCAGGGGCGGTGCTGTCGACCCCAGCTTGCTGGCTGAATAAAGACTTTGCTTGGATTTTCATCTCCGTGTCCGTGTGTCTTGTTCTCTGGGAAATCCCGGAGTCCTAGACCCTAACAGCTCCCCTCTCATCCCAATGGATCTCATCCTCATCAGAAGAACCATTGTCGTGTAGCTTCTGTGCCATGTTTTTTTGCATGTGGCACTTGGGGGTCTATACATCTCCCTGAGCCAAAATGGCCACCTTCTCCAGAAGAAGCCCTCTTTCCTTTGAGGATCTCCTGGGCAGCAGGAGTCAGAAAAAGCCCCTTGAGCTTCCTTCTTTACATAACTCTGGTGCCCTTATTTGGGAATAAACCTCAGTGAAACAGAAAGCAGTAATGAAGACCAATACTACTGCCATCACTGATATTGCCCGAGAGAGTCAGCTGGCGTAGCTGTACCCTGGAACTTCTGTGAGCGCACTTGACTCCTGCTCCGTTTGTTCACTCAGGACTTTGTCTCTCACTGACGGAGTCCTCGGTTTCCCACTGGTCTGTATCCCAGTCTGCCTTGGACACCATCACTGTTTGCTGCTCTCTGAGAAGCTTCATCAGGAGGCCGGTTCCGGAGATGAGCTTGGCCCAGGCCAGCTGCGTGTGGGTGTCAGAGCACTCCATTTTCAAAGCTGGGATAACATGAGAAATGAGCCTTCTCATGTCATTGTTGGGGATGAAGTACCATAGCTTCTGGCTTAGCCAAGCTTCATATTGACCACCTGGAGATGAGCTCACTGGGAATGTACAGGCTGTGGGCTTGGAGGGCACGCCAGTGCCCATGTTGTGGCATTCCTGTTGATTTCATCAGTCAGTTTAGCAGTTGGCATAAAGCTGTCTGCAGGCACAGCAGGCTCAGCAGTGGAAACATTCTTACAGGCAGTGATGTCAGAGGTAGTTTCCTCCAGCACAGTAATGTCACCTGTAAAAGTATTTCTTCAGAAGCATTTTGTGCAGTCATATTTTCTGTAGAAGGATCCGAAAGAGAAAATACTTTTGGAAAAGGGTTTTCCTGAGAAGTCAATTCTGATGATGAAAAAGCCCCTCATGAAGGGGAATTTATGAGGCTCCTCACTGCAGCAAACAGAGGCCTCTTTGCAAGCATCAGGCTATTGGGTAAGCCTTCACTTCTGAACTTTCTACTCATTTTGACCTTGGGTATTTTGTGAACCACACGAGACCAAGTTTTTGCAAAGAGAGGTTTTTTTCTGAAATGTGAAGTTGGTTTGGAAGCCTTCATATTTCTAACTCTGGCATTTGCATCTTCTAAAACAAAAATAGTGTCAGTTAAGTTCTGATTTCTGTTTAACCTCAGATAGGGATTTTGGTGCGGTGGAGGCAGAAGGCCGGCCCATCACGTACTGTTTCAGGATAGAAGAGGCTGCTGCCTGTGTTCCTCTAGGAGTGAAGACTGTGTTGAAGGAGTTTCCCACTAATTTCCTGGGGTGTCCACACCACGTGAAGCTGCTGCTGTGGGGATGGCGTCCTGAGGCTTTTTTCTTTGGCAGTGTTCTCCACAAATGGCTGGGCATTCTGCTTCCTCTTGATGCTTTTCCTTCTCATTTCTTTGAGTTGCCTTTCCCGTATGTCCTGTGGGCTCTCACTGACCAGCTTCACACTCAGCAGCCTTTTCCCCACACTCTGAATCTTTGGTGGGCTGTTCTCCTGTGGCTGGGCGGTTTCCAATTTCTTTTGAAATATTTGGCATTTAGATTTGGGATGTGTAAGCATGGTAATTTTTTCGTTACTTTTAACCTCATCAGTTTTTTTCTTGAATTTCTGCATCCTACAAATTTTCTAGAAGATAGAGTTTCTTCCATTTATTTTTGTAAGGTTGGATCTGGGTGTAAGAGAAGTGTTCCCTGGCTTGTTTTTCAAATGCCCCACATGCTTATCTCCTTCTTGTATGTTTGAAAAAAGAAGTTTAATGAATGGTACTAATACTGATTCCACATCTTCTAGATATCCCTCGGAGAAAGAAGGCCATATGTAGTTCAGTGCCCTAGGAACATCATGGTCATCACTAAAGTCTGCTTGCTCATTGGTGAAGGCTGACCAACTGGTCTGAGGCTGCCTTCTCTGGCTCGACAGTCAGCTCCGTGCTGGGGCTCGTCTTCCGGGACTGTAATACCTGCATGAATGATCCTTCAGCTTTCCCTACAGATGCTTCATCGTTCCTGCAGAGGTTAGTCTGAATCCTCAGCATTTGCTGTCCCCAGGTCTGAGTCACAGGATGTGGGCTCCTCAGAATGGTCTGGACTCTTGGAGCCGTTCTCTTGGAGTTGGCAGCTGTCAGAGTTTGGGTTGCAGAGGCTGGATGAACTGGCCGTGTCCAGGCTGAGAGAGGAGGCAGTGATCTTCTCGTTCTGTTGGTCTTGTGGCCTGAGTGTTGGACTTCGATGTCCTCCAAGCATGAGGAATGGGAAATTGAATCTGGAGACTCCTTTCACTGTAGTTCTGTCCAGAGATAGTGAGAGGGTCAAACTCAGAGAAGGGGCAAAGCCCAGCGAGAGCCAGTGGGGTAAGTGTCCACCCATTTAAGATGGCGGACTTGTAGGGGAGTTCAAAGGACAAGGATGTCAGTCCCTGCAGGAAGATGAGGAGGAACTCGCCCTCCTAGGTGTCCTGAAGCAGGACCGTGGGCTGACAGTACTCGCACTGCCTGGCCTGCTCCTGGCAGAGCTGTTTCAGGCAGCACTCCAGCAGGCCGTCATTCAGGGCCAGTGCAGCCAGGAGGTCCAGCAGCTGCCCACATCTATGCTGACAAAGATCATCTGCTCCAACCCCGTGATGATGTGTTGGGATGGCAGCCTGGGGTCTGGTCCATTTTCCACCACTGGCAGTGTTTGCACTCAGGCAGCAGCTCCCTCAGAGAATCACACGAAACCAGAGGGAGCAGGAAGGGGATGGGGCCTGTGCTCACATCCATTCAGCCCCTGATCCTGTGACCCGACGCAGTGGCCTCCTGGTTTGACCCACTGGAAAAATTAGTATTCCAGCCAGGCGGAAGGGTTCACTAGAAAATGGGAAGCGCAGAGGAGAATGGTTCTGGGGGCAGATGAGGATCTGAATAGAAGTGGTTTCATGCTGTTCTAATGTGTCTGCATTACCTAAGCATTGAGGGGAACAGATCACTGAAGGCTTTAACGGAGCAATGACAGAAATCAGATTTTCCTTTGAAAAAGAAACTTTGGTGCCAGCAGTGCTAGTGGGCTGGAGGGGAACAAGGCTAGAGGCTGTGCGGGGAGTTAGGAGACTTTGGCAACAGTCTAGAAAGAGATGCCATGGGCCTAGCATCCTGATCCTCTCTCATATCTGACGGAGTTTCCATTCTATTGGCCTATGTTTTGGATAAAATCACAAAGAACAAGAAAGACTGGTATTTGCATTTTGAGCCTTCCTTGCAGCTAGCAGGATTTAGTGAGACAGTAATTCATTCTGGTAGTGCTGGTGGAGACAGTGACAACAGTGACCTTCCACAAGCCGGATCCTGGGCCAAAAGCGCAGCATCCAGGGGCTGCCGGCGGCCACAGCTGTGTCTCCGGTGCAGTGGGTCAGTAGGATGATACCTGGCTGTAGTTCTGGCTGCCTCAGCTGCCTTTGTTCCTGCCCATTTTCCAAGCCCAAGTTCTCAGATCTTAGAGTAATTTTCATCCAATTTTAAAAATAATGCTTTTGAGGAGGTAAGGCAGATATTATTATTCTATTAAGGTGAGGAAACTGAAACTCTGAAAGCAGAGGTGTTCGGCTCAAGATCAAATGCTGGTAAGGACATACCCAGGATTGCATCTAAGGCCTTTTGATGGGGGCTCAGTTCCCTTTCCACCACCCCCTTATTTATCAAACTTGGTAGCTTGTATGTGGCAAGGTGAAGGGAAGTGCTAGAAACTGTAGCTTACTTGTGGCACAGCTTTCTAGAGTTATCTAGGAGTCTTATTAAAAATTAGGCTATTTAAAACAATATAAATTGAGTAAAATGTAAAATCTAGGTATGATTAGGAAATTCAAATAAATTTTATCTTTGTAGGAAGTGAGCCTCTTGATCCCCCAGTAATACAGAAGTATTCATATCTGTAGTATGGACTTCGGTAGAAGCGTGTAAGTCCTGATGAAACAGCCAATTCCTAGGCTACTGTTGCAATTAGCTACATGTCCCCATTTAATTTAGCAGCCACCATATTTATCCCCACAGATCTGATCTATGTGTACATGTATAATAACCTCATCTATATGTGTTCTTAAAGCCCAGAAGTCCAGAACATCTTAATCAGTGTGCAATACATTTATTTGACTAAAGACTGGTAGAGATGCAGATGCTAACTAATGCTGCAGAAGATACATAAAACATTGGCAAATACCTTGCGAAAAAGAGATAAAATGTAACATGTCTTTTCCATATCGTCATGCTATGCTGAAATGACTACTTGTCATCTGGAGATAATTATGTGCAGTGATTTCATAGGAAACAAAATCATGTTTCAATAAAAGGGTAAGGTAGATATGAACCATAATCATTCTAAATTATGGTTATTAAAATTCTATAAATTCAAAACATTTTTGGGCAATCAGTCCATTCTGAGGAGCATTGGCCAACCCGTATAATTTTCAGATGTTCTAAGTATACCAGGTTACATCTGACCACAAAATGTTTCTCTAGATTACTATTACACATGCCCATTTATTCATTCTACTATTCATTAAGGCATGACTTGGTCTTGAGGCAAAGATAAATACCCAGTGACATGGAAATAAGGAATAATACTATGATGTGATTTATAATAATAGAAGTACATATAAGACAAAGTGTAAGCATCAAAAAATGAACTCTGCCCATAGGCTTCATCGAAAGGTTGAGTATTACACTCAGGGTTGGTTCTTAAAGGGTGAATACAATAACAACAGTGGACAATGTGCTCAGAAATAGGAAAGGTGATCAGAGAAGAGTGTTTTAGACAGAGGGAGCTGCATGTGCAAGGACATGGAGGTATGAAATAGTCCAATGAGCTCAAAGAATTGCATTTATTTTCATGTTTATGAAATCTATTATTGAAAAGCAATGGTGTGTTAGAAGTTAGGCATGTGGGATAGATTATGTGAAGGACTTTAAAAAGTAATGCTCCTTGGGCTTTACGTAATGGACATGAGGAAAACAATAAGAGTTTCAGGCAAGAGCACAGCAAGAGAGTATTTACCTTTTAGAAAAATGACCCTGAATGTAGTATGGAGCTTGAAGAAGAAAGAGACAAAGGCAGAGAGTCCAGGTGAGAAGTTATGAAGATGTGCAAATAGAGATGAAGAGATGAGAAAATGTGTGATAAATATCTAGGTAATAGAACCACAGAAATTGATAATAAATTGGATGTGAAAGATCAGGAATGGTGAGGACTTAAGATATCTCAGTGATTATCAAATTAAAAAACAAAATAGGAAATAAAGAAATAATAAATCTGGTGGAAATAAAAAATAAGCTCAGTTTTTTCAAGAATGTGAGTTGTCCGTGGATTATGCAGGCAGAACTATAGAACAGGCACTGGTATACATGGAAGAGGTCCAGGCTGGTGACAGTTAAGTCATTGATCATACAACTATGGGATCATAATACAACATCGATCATAGTAACAACTATGGGAGTGAACAAGATTACAAGATTGCTGAACAAGAAAAAGATATTCTCAAGTAATACAATGTACATGCCTGACGTGTCTTTAGTGGTTATCACATCTTTGTCAACAATTGCTGTTGGAGTGTCCTTTCTCATTCATGCCTAACAAAGTGCATCGTGTTGTGCCTGAAGGAAAGCTGCGCTGGGAACAGGAGAGTTGGCTCCCAGTTCTGACTCTCACAAAGTCATTGTGTGATGTTGGGCAAGTAATTTTAACCATTTCCTTCCTTGGTTTCTTTATCTGTGAAATGAGGAGGCTGGATTAGATGACCTCTAACACTGTAATTCTTTAATCAGTTCTCCAAACCTCATGACTTCCCCTGATGGGCTCTGATGAAGCCACCAATGAAATCTGAAATAACCGAAAAATACCTGTAAAGAGAAATTTAGCCTAATAAGAGCCACAAACTTTACAATTTTCCCCTGAATAATAGAAAGTTGACTTCAAAAAATATTTCTGTTGTGATTTATTGTAGACTATTATGAAAAGGTAGGGCTTTTTATTGAAAGAGAATGATACTTGGTCACAAATATTTGGGCTTCTATTGGCCTTTGGGTCCAAGTTTTCTTGGAAAATAACTATATAAGGCCATCCCATTTAAAAGCCATCTACTCACAGCTTCATTGTAATAGGGATTATGTAATAAGTCTGATAATTCTTGCCCCTTCTGGCCAATTATGACTGCCTACAAGTAATACAGGAATAGAAAACATTTATCGTAGTTATATTGCATTTAAATTTTCTATCCTTATAATGGCAGGCAGTTCAGATGACTGCACAGAAAGACCTGACTAATAGATGGGCTCATAGTTGGCACCCAAACTAAATACATGAAAAGCTTTCCTTCATGTTCCCCCAAATGTGAGGTACCATGGGCTCTTAGCACCAAAGAAACATAGACGGTAATTTGACTAATGAACCAAACATCTGTGAAGATATTACTCCCTGTGTGATAGTATATGGGTGGAATAGTTCTTGTAAAATTATTTTGTAGTTTTGATTGAGCTGCAGTGCTTGTATACTAAGCCTCTGAATAATGATTATTCTCAGAATGTCAGAGGATTATCTGATTGTGAGGCACTCTGAGTGCACTGTGACTGGGCAACAATCATGGCACCCAAAGCCTCAGAACACAGAGCTTTGCACTGTAAAGAGAAACATTGCCCAAAGAATATGCTATGTTTAATTTAGAGTTTGTAAAACTGTTCAAAAATCAAAAGCAAAGTAGAAAGGTAAAGAGTTAATAAACAAAGACTTTATAGATTAATGGAAATAACCAATTAAAAGAATGTAAGGGAATACAAAAGCAACCTAAAAAGACAAAATGTCTAGAAAAAAATATAAAAAATGTGCAAGAACTATATGGGAAAAACTTTAAAACACTACTGCATGATATGAAAGAAGATTTTGGACAAATGATAGACTTCTTTTGCAAAGAGATCCAAGATGCATCATATTATTATTCAGTGAGACAAACAAGTATGTAAAGTATCCTGCTTTTTGTATAAAAAAGAAAAATAAG